TCGGTAAATTCTCTGTTCTCGATAGAAGTTCTTTGGAGAATATTCTCAGGGCCATCTCTACGTTCACCGCAACGATCTTGGGGGGGGGGTAATTACCCCCATTACCCCCCCCCCTTGTATACGCCGGTGCTTCAACTGTTTTGGAAATATTGACAGTTGAAAACTGACTTTTTTGCATCTTTGACAGACTGTAATACCTGAACGGTTAATTTTACAAAAAAACGGATTTTACATTTCTATCTTAGTTTTTTTTTTTTTTTACGGATATGCGCACTCGCAAGGAAATGTCCTATCACGCTCGAGAAGCGGCAAGTGCGCGGAAATGTCGGTGTATGTTGGTCTTGAAACGGTTCAGGTTGTAACCTGCAGGGAAAACCGTCGCAGGTAGTTTATTCCACAGCGATGCTGTTCTCCAGAGATATGAATTCTGATATAATGAGGTTCTTGGTGCCTCTAGTTTGACAGTAAATTCATGGTTACAGTCTGTTTGACGGGTTCGCCTGGTAGGCGCTACTCTCGGTGGAATCATACGTGCCAAATCTTCAGAGCATTTTCCGTGATAGTACCTGTAGAAGAGAGATAAATCGCCCACAGATCTGCGATGTTCGAGACCATCCAAGTTACGAGTAAGTGCGGGGTCATTGATCAGCTTGATAGCTCGTTTTTGCACGGTGTTCAAAAGCATTAAGGTATGTTTGGGTGCTGCACTCCATATATGTGAGCAGTACTCCATAGTTGGTCGAATCTGGGCTTTGTAGAGTGTCAGCAATTGGCTTGGTGTGTACAGATGTCTTGTACGAAATAGCACCCTCAGCTTTTGGGACGCCCTTTTAGCAATATCTGCCACGTGATTGTGCCAAGACATGTTGGTCTCTGCAGTAACCCCCAAGATGTTCAACTGACTCTGTAATGTGACAGCACTTCCAGATAGCATGATGTTTGGCTCACCGGTGCTGTTCTTTTTTGAAAACAGAGCTGCTTGGGTTTTCTGTGCGTTGAACTGTACAAGGTTTTTGTTACCCCGGTCCTCTATTATCTCCAGGTCGTTATTTATCTGCGATATTTGAGTTAGTCTAAGATGATGGAATTCACGTGCGGAAAGACCTGTGGGTGGTATGAGTGAGGAGACTACATTGCCATCGTCTGCAAAGCAATAAAGTGGATTTACTGTTTTATCTATGAGGTCATTTATGTAAATCAGAAAAAGAGTTGTCGAAAGGATTGCTCCCTGTGGCACACCAGCATTTATTTGGTAAGAGTTGGAGTTCTGGCCATCCAGTGCAACATAAATGGATCTGTCCTTTAGGTAACTTTCAAACCAAGTGCAAAGTTTCGGCGATAATCCCATTGCTTTGAGCTTGTTGAGCAGATTTTCATGCCAAACTTTGTCGAATCCTTTAGATATATCTAAGGCAATTGTTCTTGTTTCACCCCGCAACTCAATCGCTTTTTGCCATATGCCATAAGTGAGTGACGTATGTAAGTAAATCGCCAGTTGACCTATATTTTCGAAATCCGTATTGCTTATCGTTGATAATTTTGTACTTTTCCAAGTACTTGGTTAGGTGATTGTTCACAACTCTTTCCATTACTTTTGATATCACCGGAAGTAGAGCAATTGATCTATAGTTTAACGGATCTGTCTTTTTTCCTTTCTTTGGAATGGGTTGTACTGCGGCAGACTTGATGATGGATATACTCTTTGCCTGTAAGACAAATTGAATAATTTTGCGAAAGTTGGGGTGAGTTCGTTGGCGCAATTTTTGAGTACTATTGCGGGAATGCCATCCGGACCCATTGCTTTGTTTGTATCTAGCTTTTTAAGGGATTTTCGTATTTCTCTGTGATAAAAGGGTACCTCTGGCATACTATGGGAAACCCTTTCAATGAACGGTGGAGTTTTTCCGTTTGGCACTGTTAGGTTGGAGTTGGAGGAAAACATTTGGGCCAGCATATTGGCTTTTTCCTCTGATGTTGTGGCTAAGTGATTATTTTTATCTGTAAGTGGTGGTATGGATGACTTGGTGAAGTTAGATCCAACAGCTTTTGCAAGAGACCAAAAGGACCTAGAACTACTTGGACAATTCAGCAACCTGCTTTTTATTCTTTGATTGTATATTTCTTTAGCGGAGTCAATAGTAATTTTGCAACTATTTCTGGCTTCTATAAATTCTGTGTGGTTTTGAGCGGTTTGTTGTCGTTTCCAAAGGTTATATGCTCTGTGTTTTTTCTGTACAGCCGTTTGACACTGGCTGTTGAACCAAGGTTTTGCATTAGCTCTACGTTTAGTTGTATGTGAGATATATGCATCCATTCCAGATAAGATTACTTGTGTTATTTCATTACAACAAATAGTGGGATCAGCTGTTTTAAAGCAAACCTCTTGCCATGGAAAATCCAGGTAAAACTGTTTTAGGTCATTCCATTTTGCCGATTTATAGTGCCACATTTTACGAGGAAGTGGTTGTTGGCTTGGTGGGATGAGCATTACGCACTTTGTTATTATAAGTTTATGATCGGACGAACCAAGTGGAGCATCTACTTGAATTGTGTACGAGTCAGGATTTGTGGTTAGGAACAAATCTAAAAGCGCTGCAAATTCGCCCCTTTCTGAGATACGGGTAGGTTCATCGACAAACTGCGTTAGACCACAACTTATGGCAAAAGCTTCTGCTAGTTTTTTATAAACTATCATTTGACACCAATCTTGAATTTAATCCATGATTAAAAATTCTGCCTTAATTATTAATCTTCGGTTAAATTCAAAGTTGGTGTCAAATGATAGCGTATGGAAATCTAAGATAGGAATGTAAAATCCGTTTTCCTCTAAAATTAACCGTTTAGGTTTCACAGTCTGTCAAAGATGCAAAAAAGTCAATTTTTACCTGTCAATATTTCCAAAACAGGTGAAGATAGGTATATGACATTGTACATGAAATATGTCTAGAATTTTTCGCAGAATGCAGAAAAGTCATAATATACAGGGGGAGTCATTTAAAAAAACATAACTTTGTGTCACTACTGGTTATTGGGCCACCCTGTATACTGGAAAATAATTTAGGAATGTAGTACTCATGTTTATCTACAAGTTTTGTATTTAGTTTTTTCTTCGATCTCCGTAAGTATAGGAGATATGGTCATGGACCACCGCGCGCTTAGTAACTCACCCTGTATAATGTAAACATAGTAACCTCAACAAAATTGTAAATTATCTATAAAAATTATAAAATCAATTAGGCCTCGGTACCAGTACGATAGCTACTGTTTTGATGTCATGTATAAATAAATAAATTTAAAAAAAAATAATGTTGAGTCTAGTAACAAAGCTTTTAAGGCACAATACAATGGTTTTATTATACGAAACAGTAGATCTTTTAAAATAAATACTATCGTAAGATTATAATATAATTGCCTTGTGACGCCTTATTTGGAATATGCATCTCCAGTCTGGATGCCAAGTGCAATCACGCATACAGATTATATTGAGAAATTTCAAAAACGATTTTTGAGATATACAGGGTGTCCACTTAGTGCGATATCGGACGATATCTCCTTACAGGGTGATGCAAGAAACAAAAAATTAATTACAAAGTTGTTTGATACTCTAATATGCATTAGTTAAAAATATTTTTGAATATACAGGGTGCTCCCTTTATGGGATCTGCGACAGAACATTGTTATTTCAAATGGAACACCCTGTATGTGATTGCATATTTGGATTCTGTGTAAAATTCTGAGCAGATTTCATGTAATATACCCTATACCGAAGTTCAACTGTTTTGGAAATATGGACAGTCGAAAATTGACTTTTTGCAACTTTGACAGGCTGTAAAACCTAAACAGTTGATTTTAGACGAAAACCGGTTTTACATTCCTATCTTAGATTTTCATAAACTATCATATGACACTATGCAACTTTGAATTAAACTGGAGATTAAATTTAACTGGAATTTTTAATCATGGATTAAATTCAAAGTTGGTGTTAAATGATAGTTTATAAAAATCTAAGATAGGAATGTAAAATCGGTTTTCGTCTAAAATTAACCGTTTAGGTTTTACTGCCTGTCAAATTTGCAAAAAGTCAATTTTCAACTGTCAATATTTCCAAAACAGTTGAACTTAGGTATAGGGTATATTACATTAAATCTGCTCAGCATTTTACGTAGAATCCAAATATGCAATCAAATACAGAATCAAAAATATCAAAATTCTGTCGCATACCCCATAAACGGAGCACCCTGTATATTCAAAAATATTTTTAACTAATGCATATTAGAGTATCAAACAACTTTGTAATTGAATTTTTTTTTCTTGCATCACCCTGTAAGGAGATATCGTCCGATATCGTACTAAGTGGACACCCTGCATATTTTTTAGAAAAAATAATGCATATTCATAAATGGTCTATAAATCTTCTGTGTGCAAACAGTCCTATGGCCTAGGCACATGTACATTTTTTTTTTCCATTAATTTAGAATCATTTGCTTTGTATACATTAATTGTATTATGAGTTTGGAAAATAAATGCATCTTGAAATCTTGAATCTTGACATCTTGAAAACTCTTATCTATCATATCATGCGCACTTATTTCGGACTCACCCTGTATAATTTATATTTTCGAGCTTCCAAAAGATGCTTGTCCTGGTGATCTGTGCATTTTAGTAACTTTATTAAACCGTTGATTCTGTAATTGCTATGCTAGATTACTTTACTAGATCAACAGTAGAAAACATAAAAGTTGTAGTAAAAAAAATCATGGAAGGTCTTTAAGACTAGCTTTAAGGTCTCGGTTTTATGGAGTATCCTATAGAGCAAGTGGTGAAGCGAAACAATTTTTTCAAAGAGACCGCCAAAATCTAATCCTGTTCCATGTATTCTGTCACCAAGCTATAATCATAACTATTCAACTTTGTTATATTAACATGCTGTAATTCCTAAAGGGCTTCATTAGCTAGCTTTAATATCTCAATGAAACATTTATCACCTTACTCTATTCTAGGTGTTGCAACTACTTGGCTTAAAGAAAAAATACCCACGCCAGACGGTGCAACATTTACTGTTCCCATTTTCATCCGTAAATCCCAGTTCAGGCTTCCGACCAAACCCCAGACACCCATCATTATGATCGGTCCAGGAACTGGAGTAGCACCGTTCAGAGGATTTGTCCAGGAAAGGAACTTTTCTAAAGAAGATGGCAAACCGGTAAGAATTGTTTCGAAATATAATATATGTGTGTCAAAAATAACACTGAAACATTAAGTTAATTATGAGCTACTAAATCCTGATTAGCTTACCATCAATTTTCAATAATAACTATTGAAGTAAATTAAAGAAAAAAAATTTAAACGTCGGTTTTTCATAGGTTGGACAGACTGTACTCTACTACGGCTGCAGAAGGAAGAATGAAGATTTCCTTTATCAAGAAGAATTTGAGAAATACGAAAGCAACGACTTGCTCACTTTGAAAGTAGCATTTTCTAGAGATCAACCACAAAAAGTGTATGTTACGCATTTGATTGAAAAAGATTCGGATTTGATATGGAATATTTTTGAGAATAATGGACACTTATACATTTGTGGGTAAGTAAATAGATATTATTCTAACTAATTTCACTCAACTTATTTCATGATAATTATTATAATTCAAATAAGGGTTGTACTGCTATAGGTTTTTAAGTGAAATATCCACGACAACTCCTCAATTCAGACTTTATAAAATTATGTCTTACGGCTTATAGAAGAATAATACCTTTTGTGTAAAGTGAATGTGCGATTGTTTTTTACTCATCAATTCTTTTATGTTCTAGTGACGCCAAGTCTATGGCCGTAGATGTACGTAACATCATCCTTAGAATCATCAAAGAAAAGGGCAACATGACGGAGGAGCAAGCTCAAGCCTACTACAAGAAAATGGAAACACAAAAACGAGTTTCCATGGATGTCTGGAGTTAATTAAAAGGAATTGCCTAACCTAAATTTCGTTGAAGAAATGTCAAAATTGTTTTCTGGATTTTATCATCAACACACAGAAACAGTGTTGCGGAATTACGTCGTGTATTTATTTCAGGGTTGGTGCTTATTGCTAAACCAAATTTTGGTTATACCACAATGAAAATATCCTTGAATTATTCACAGTTAGAGCCTCAAAATCACGTTAGGAGCTTATAAAATCAAAACGCATTTACTTATTTAGTTAATTTTTTTTAAATCTAGTTCAGCTGGGCTGTATTTGTATATAAAAAAAGTGATCTTCCATAGTTTGGGCCATTCCTTTTGATGGCTGCTTTAGGATTTTAATTAAATTTTAGCAAAAATTGTCTTTGAGCAGCTTCAAATGAATATAAAATATTGGTAGACTCGAAAAAAATAATATTTTTATACTCGCACCAGTATTAGATTTTCAACATTGAGCTACCATAATTTTTATATTTTTGTACATTAGACAAAAGTAATCATAAGCTGACAAATGGTGCCTATTTTTTATATTTGTGTACGTACATAAAAAAATGTAGGTTTTTTTTTTATTGTTTTTACCCTAAGAGTAATTTTAGGATGGAATTGAGGGTGATTTTCTTTTTTCATAATATTGTGCAATGTTCTCTATGAAATTGTTGCGTAGAAAGTATTTTTCTATGAGAGGTAATATTGCTTTAACTAGTTAAGTGTTATTAAATATTTATGTTATTCTAAGGAGTAAAAATATATTGCAATATATTCTTGAACAAAAAATATTTTTGGTTTTGTTAGTGCTAAGTTGAGAAAAAAAATTTATAGTTGAGAAAAGGCATGTTAACTTTGCAACAACAGGTCTCTAAATTAGAGAAGTCGCCTTTGAACATGTATATATACCTATGAAGATTGTAATACCTAACATAGCTCAGACATTACTGTTGTAACTTCCTACGAAAGGCAAATCAAATTCCTTGGAAGTTGGTGTATATTATGATGTATACCACAAACAGTTGTTTGATGAAAATTTTTGGCTCTCTGGTATTGTGTATAGTAAATTTGATATCACGAGAGCATCATTTGCAATGCAGACTAATCGGAACAGTCAGCGTCCAACTGGGAGTAAAAACTTTCTAACTTACCAAAATAAGGATGCATCAAGAAGTTCTAGGAATTTCTTAAGATTACACTACAACAATGTTAGAAATATGTTAGGAAGAGTAAGGCTTTATCCGAGGGTGTTACTGTTGATGAATATGATTTGGTTTTCTTCACCGAGATATGACTTAGTGAAGCATGAGAAAAGTGAGTTTGGTTTGCAGCACTATACAATGTATATACTTTTTGCTCTATAATCAACTTTATCACATCCATCTATAAAGTCTGTCGATTTTAATCTGACACTTTCTGTATGAGGAGCAAGGGGGTGTTTCATATGGCAAAAACAGATGTGACGTCAGGTAACCATTGACGTTTTAATGTAGGGAGTCACCAGCTCACATTCCTTTGGAGAATCCATTGAGGTAGAATAATAGGGAGACGCTCTCAGCATTTAAATAGTAGAATAAAAACGGTATCGGTGGGCATGGCTAAAGACACTAACAATATGGCTACTTACACAGAGCCGAACTAAATAAATTCTTTATGAATTTTATCTAAAAACGTAAAAAAGTCTACATTACGCCAAGAAAGAAGAAGTTGCTACAGAAACTTCAACATACTGAAACAGAAGATCTTTATTCTAAAACCCAAAATAGAAATTCTGCGCTTTAAAAATTTTTCGTATTTAGAACATCTTCGGATGGAAAATGCGGCCCTGATGCAATACTGTCACGTTGCTATGACAAAAGTGACAGACTTTCAGACAGAAGAACACTCACAATATGGCGGAACTGGGTACACGTTTGTCTCGTCATTTTGCCTCCTTATTCTACCTCAATGGGAGAATCAGATTAAAATCGACAGACATAAAATGTAATGACCTTTTATTTTTAACCATATATGAAATGTTCCCGTCTTACGACGAAAAAGGAGCCGGAAATTATTTATGGACTAATGATGATTATGGTGCAAACATTCAGGCATTTGTTTTTTTTTTTTTTTTGAATTTCACAGGCAATTTTTTTTGGCATTTCTTAATTTCCTGCAGGGTAATTTTTAGTAACAATTTTACAGTATTTTACTGTCAGTGTTAAACTAGCCCATGGAGCAGAACAGTTTTAAAAATAAAGTAAAGCAGGCTCTTTCAATAGGCCTATTTGGGTTTGGGCAAAGGAAGGTTCTAGGACGGTTCAAAAAATCAAACAGTTTATTATTGAAATTTGTGATAGCCGAGTTATTGTCATTTTGTTGATTGATAAACTATCCGATTGTTTTGAACCGTTCTACACCCTTTCAACCTCAATTTTGGAAAAAGTAACTTTTATTTTGGAAAATGTAAAGTCATTTTCGGAAAAAGCCAAATTAATTTCAGAAACAGTAAAGTTAATTTCGGAAAAAGTAAAGTTAATTTCGGAAACAGTAAATTCAAATTCGGAAAAAGTAAATTCAAATTCGGAAAAAGTAATAAGTAAACATAGTTATATATCTACTTAGAAAATCTAGCCGACATCGCTATTGGATGAATTAATGCTGGAATTTTTGTCCGATCATATAACCATGTCCGGAGGCATTATCCTGCAGTTATAAGACTGGATGATTTCAATCTGGGGACATAATATTTAGGAGTACATGTAGTTTTTTTAATATTTGTGTATAATTTTTAATAATGTTATTTTTCTATATAATTAACTAATTTTTTGTTTAAATAATACTTATATAGTATTACTTTTTCCGAATTTGAATTTACCGTTTCCGAAATTAACTCTACTTTTTCCGAAATTAACTTTCCTTTTCCGAAATTTACTTTACTTTTTCTGATAATGACTATTTCCTACAGCCGTGAGGAAAAATCGATTTTCCGCACTGATATGCGTGCGGAAAATGAGTTTTCCCGCACGGTGCGGTAAAACTTTTTTTTTTGACATATCAGTTCGGAAAAAGTTTTTCCGCACGGCTGTCAGTGCGGAAAAAAAAAATTTACATTTTTTCGCCTGTAGGAAAAATATTGTACCTAACACTTGCGGAAAATGAATTTTTCCGCACGCGGCTGCCGTTCGCCGAACGACGCGTAGCAGAGTTCGGTGATGCAGGAAATAGCTATTTCGCAAGTGTTAGGTACAATATTTTTCCTACAGGCATAAAAATGTAGAATTTTTCTTTTTTTTTGACAGCTGTGCGGTAAAATTTTTTCCGCACTGACAGCCGTGCGGTATAGTTATTTTCCTAACAAGTGCGCAAAGTGATACTTTCTCGCACGAAAAAGCAGTTAGACGAACAAGCGGAGTTCGGATAAGCTTTGAGTGCCGGAAAGACACTTTGCGCAAGTGTTAGGAACAATATTTTTTCTTCGAGTATCTTAAAAAAGTAGACTTTGAATTAATTGTTAAAATATTAGAAAAATCAATCAAATCAAAATCTTCAAAAATCCTTTAAAATCTATTGGAATTCCTCAGAATGTCTTTTAAATTAAATCCCCAAATATCTTTTTACATCTTCTGGAATTTCTAGAATCAGCAAGAATATTTTCATGAGAGTCTCTTAAATATCAAAAATTTTACAAATTCCTAGCAGTACAGGCTGGTCCAATTTGGACACCTTTGATAGGAAATATAGACTAAATCACGATAGAAAGTGAAGTTGACAGTTCGCGTTGACATTTTTAGTAAACTTTTTCTTTAGGTTGTCAGCATGCGTAGCGTTTCGATTCCGTCAGCTGGGATAAACGACAGGGTCGTATTTAGAAAAGTTATATACATTTCAGAATAAAAAATTATTTTCAATTTTTTTAAAGGAAGTTAAGTTATTAAAATCCAAAAATCCTAAAATTAGAGTCCAAAGTAAACACTTATAATAAGAGTAAACACTTAAATCCAAACTAAAACCGAAACACCGAAACACAAAGGCACAGAACACTACAGAAAAAACCAAAAAACCGATTGCGATAATAACAAATAAAAAAATAATGTAGAAAACGGCAAAAAACTGAACGATTTCACACAAAAATTCGAAATTTAAAATTCAAAGACCCGAATCTGATATTTTTATGTGTCAAATCAAAATGTCATGTATCATTATTTGATAGTTGTCAGAAAAAGGGACAGAGGGATTTTATTTATTTTCAACTGGTGAAAATAACGGTCAAAATTTAAACTCTATCGTGAATACGACTATATCATGTTAACTAAGCATTAATTTCAACTAAAACCCTTCATTTTGAATATTAGTTTATTCAGAAACCATCAAAACATTGAAAAATCAAGTATAACTATGGTAATTATACGTAACAAAAATGAGTGCGCAAAGAGGTAGAAAATAGTTATTTTCCTAACAAGTGCGGAAAGACACTTTCCGCATGAGTGAGGAACATTATTTTTTCTACGAGCGCGTTCAAATATAGAAATAAAAATTAAGTAAATCCAAAGCGATATATTATTGAAGAAATCGTTCAATTACAATAGTTATTTATGTATCAAGGGTACATGTATATATTCAAGTATATATATACAAGTTTATATACAAGTATATATACAATTATATATACAAGCATATATACAAGTTTATATACAAGTATATATACAATTATATATACAAGCATATATACAAGTTTATATACAAGTATATATACAAGTATATATACAATTATATATACAAGCATATATACAATGTCAAAAAAAATTATTAAATTTATGAAAGATCCACAAATTAGATTAATATGGATTAAAATAGCAAAAATGTATGCAGACAAAATTGATAAAATGTTTGATTAATTAACAAAACTGACACTTCTGAACGCCACTTTCCCGCACTAGTGCGGGAAAGTGACATTTTCGGAACTAAAATGCGTGCGGGAAAGTGATAAAAAATGCACGCTCGTAGAAAATAGTTATTTTCCTAAAGTGCGGAAAGACACTTTCCGCATGAGTTAGGAACATTATTTTTTCTACGAGCGCGTTCAAATATAAAAACAAAAACTAAGTAAATTCAAAGCGATATATTATTAAAGAAATTTAATTACAAAATTACTTATTTTTATATTTTTACGTTTATTTCAAGAATGATTGAAAAATATTATGTATTAAATCGATTTGATGTTACAATAAACAAAATTTCTAAGGTAAAAGAACTGCCCCGCCTCAAAGGAACCAAAAAGTCAAACAATGTCAAAAAAAATTATAACATTTTTTGAAATATTCACAAATTAGATTAATATGGATTAAAATAGAAAACAGGAATATTTAAAATAGTTTATGAGCGTATAATAGTATTTCTAGCCAAAATGTAGGCAGACAAAATAGATAAAATGTTTGATTAATTAACAAAACTGACACTTCTTCTGAACGCCACTTTCCCGCACTAGTGCGGGAATAGAATTTTCCCGCACCAGTGCGGGAAAAACAAAATCGCGCACTAGTGCGGGAAAGTGACATTTTCGGAACTAAGATGCGTGCGGGAAAGTAATAAAAAATGCACGCTCGTAGAAAATAGCTATTTATACAATAAGTTACGAAATGAGCGTCTTTTAGGCACGCGACGTGAAAATTGTCCAACGAGGCAAAGCCGAGTTGGACAACACGTCGAGTGACTAAAAGACATCGTTTCGTAACGTATTGTATACAAGATTTTTTCTACTGGCATTTTATAATAAAAAAACACAATTTTATTTCATGTGAATAAGTCGA